CAGTGGTTAGCACTGCAGCCTCACAGCGCATGGACCCGGGTTTGATTCCACCCTCGGGCGACTGTCTGTGTGGAGTTTGCACATTCTCCCCGTGTCTGCATGGGTTTCCACCGGGTACTCCGGTTTCCTCCCACAATCTAAAGATGTGCAGGCTAGGTGGATTGGCCATGCTAAATTGCCCCGTAGTGTTCAGGGATGTGTAGATTAGGTCTGGGTGGGATGCTCCGAGGGTTGGTGTGGACTTGTTGGGCCGAAGGGCCTGATTCCACATTGTCAGGATTCTATGATGATATTCTATGATTTGCAAAATTACCTGTTAAATTACTATCAGTCAGAAGCATGAATTGCATTAGCGGAGATACAATAATTTTAATTTGGTGGGGTTTTTTTGTGCTGTTTACAAACTGACTGGTTTCAGTCACTTCAAAGGAGCCAGTATGAGCTCTTGGTTAAAAGATTAAATCATGTCAGCTACAAAACTAATAATTAAAATATTCCTATTTGTCATGCAAGTCATGAAGAAAATTCTTATCTGTATTTTGCAGTTGTTAGCAAACAAACTAATCTTGCTGATATTTATGCTTCTGCTTGATCGCAGAATTTTTATGGGACGTTGCACTGCTAATTGTCATGATTAGAATCACTGAATCATTGCTACAGCATCTGACAACTGTGCAAACAGGAAGAGCAACAGCATATCTCTTCTAACAATCATTTTAAAGCTCCTCATTCTGACGCAAAGTTCCGGATTTTAAAAATTGGTGCAGATAGGGGCAGGCAGGCCAGCAGTTTTGCACCATTGGCCTGCATGCTGGTTGCTGCCAACTGCAATGCCACGCAATGAGGGTGGCGCGGGATCAGCTTAGGTGCCTGCTGGCACGAGGCAGGTTCCAAGTTCAGGCCGATTATTAATCGTTTACATTTCTGCACTGACTGGGACTTTCAGTTAGCATTGTGGCAGCCATTGTCAATGTAGATGCCCAACGTGGTGGGACTGAGCCTGATGAATGAAGGAGGATGAACGGTGAGTCACGCAGACCCTCCAACAAGAAATGCTGCAGCTACAATTCATCACCTGTGTGGGTTGTCACATGATCACCACTCAGGAACTGGGGGTTTTAAATTTATTATTAAAACCTGACATCCTCATCAGAGAGCACATCTCAAAAACTTGCCCTAGCTCACTGCCTGCAATCATTGCCCCCTGCTGTCCAAAACTCTGTATGGAACGTACCACACAGGTTCAGGACCTGAAACTGAAGCATTGGCCAGATTCCTGACCTAGTCTTTAAAAACAGCATCCTCAGAGTGGAGATAACACAGTGTGGAGCTGGAGGAACACAGCAGGCCAGGCAGCATCAGAGGAGCAGGAAAGCTGACGTTTCGGGTCGGGCTTTCCTGCTCCTCTGATGCTGCCTGGCCTACTGTGTTATCGCTGACTTCAGCATCGGCAGTTCTTACTATCCTCAGAGTTGAAACCAGGATGTGTAATTTGTTTTCATTCATCAGACGTCAGCTTCACAGGCTGGGTCAGCGTTTACAGTTCAACCCAAACTGCCCTTGAGAAGGTGGTGATGAGTTTCCTTCTTGATTTGCTGCGGTCCATTTGCGACAGGTACTCCGGCGATGCTGTTAGGGAGGGAGTTTATGTTTGCTTCATGCACAGGAATGGAGATAAACAGAAAGAAAGATTGATTTATGAGTAAATGGTTTAAAAAAAAATACCCCATTAATAATTAGCACCTGAAGCAATGAGAAGCCACACTTTTAAAAGTGTATTTGGCAGTAATTAAGACTTACCACACCATTTGTAATCTGTGATTTGAGCCCTTCTGGGCTTATTTACTGCTAATCTAGTAGGCAAGGATGATAATGTCATGTCCTTCAAGTCTCTGGGTGTAATAGTACTTGAGTAAAGTTTCTGGAGGAGCAGTGCAGGCAAAACTATAATGTTCTGATTTTCACATCTAGCCTGAAATTGCTGCCTGAGTAACTCCTTAATAATGTTGAAGGCACATAACTTCATTATTATTGCTACAAAACCAAGACAACTGATTCTATTGTGATTTCCAGCTCTCAAATCATTTAATTGTGATTACACTACACGTTTTCTCAATGCACTTGTATGATGTGATGGTAGAGGTTTGCATGTCATCCACTCCTTCCATCAAAGTTTAAAACTGAACAAGTGGGTAATTCTTCATTTAGCTAGTTTGATTTTCTTCCAGAGGTCGTTCCCTAGTGATTGAAATACATGTGTTTTTTTTTAAAAAAACCTTTGAAGTGGTATTGATATAATTTTACCTCTTTTGACCAGGGAGCAGATTCTTTTATTTGTAAGGTTGTCTTGAATTGCCAAGAAACCTGGTATATGGATTGGGACATTCGGTCTTGTCCTGCTGACTGTTCCCAAAACCAAGGCCACCTCATCTAGAAATGGGCCTCTACCCAGAGCATTAACCTGTTTATTTGCTTTCCACAGGTTGATAGATCTGTTTATCTGCAGCAATTTCTCTTTAAAATTAAAATGTCAGCATTTAAATTGTGTTGCATCTCTACTTGCTCAGCAAATTGTGACACTTCAATTTCTTCATTTCCTGATTAATTGTGGCAGTATTGTACAGTGGTGGTAATGTAGGGAGACAGCTTTCTAATTTTTAGTTTGATTAAGTATTTTAACTATTGCTGCTGTTGTTTTAAACGATTGGATGCCAACTTATGTCTGTCCTACTGCAATATTCAGCATTAATGTTTCCCAGTAAAAGTAAGCAGTGAATGCCTTACTGAAAAAATAACTCCATCTCCTCTGTGCCTGAAATACTGGACTATCTACCCAATATATTAACACAAAGAACTACAGATGCTGGAAATCTGAAACAATGACAGAATGCTGGACAATCCCACCAGGTCTGGTTGCATGTCTACGGAGAAAACAGAGATAATGTTTTGAATCTACTGTCCCTTCATTTAAACATTCTGTCTTTGTTTCAGATCTACCCAGTAGACTTCAGGCTACATAGTTAATATAAAGTTGCTCCTTGTTAAAAATATTTTTCTACATCTTGGAAGTTAAACTCCAAGATTTAGTATAACCAATGGACGTTTCTAAGGAATTTGATTAATGTAGATTGTATATTAATTTGTGCAGTCGGTGGACTGTAGCTTTACATAATTGTGTTATGGCTATCTGAAAGAATTATAGTTTAATACAACATTTCTATATCTGTAAATGATAAATCATTACAATGATTTGAAGGGAAGAAGAAAATGGAACTTATGTGGCCTCCAATGTCCCACACTGTTTCACAGACATTTTAAGAGTATAAGCTGTGTAGTTTTGTAGGCCAACTTGTCTCAACAAGATTTGCCAAGCCACAGTTGAGATAAATGACAACTTACTGTTGGGAAAGATTTCTCCAGGTAAAAGTAAAGACTAGTATTAAAACACATTTGTTTCAGTTTCTGTTCCAGTTTTTTTGGATCTCTCCACTTATTGAGCATCAGCATCACTTGGCCCTCCTGCAAATGGACCTTGCTTCCTTTATAGTTTCAATATCATCCTGGTTTCCAATATCCAGTTAGACAATGGTATAATCAAGGACCCATAATAATGATTTCCCTCATTGTGTGTAGTGGATAATTTATCCCCCGCAAATGATTTTCTTGCCTCGTAGAAGCTAAACTGAAAATTAACTCTAGACCAACTATAGAACTACGTTTTGGCTTACTATACAGAAAATAGATGTAAATACAATGTTCACAAAATAATTCTATCAACTTGCTACTACAATTCAAGTTGAGCAGAGGTGATCAGTCTCACTGCACTGGTTTGTGAGATTTCTTAACTACAAATGATTTAGTTTTCAGCCTCAAAGCAACCTATTTTTTTTAAAAAATGACACTTTTCCACAGGCTACATCTGCAGAGCATAGATAACATTAGCAAGTGCTTACTTACAAGGATTAGAATGGATGCATGTCCAGTGTTGTAGTGGGATTCTTCTTGGTCACATATAAATGTTCGCTCCGCGGTTCCTACTGAAATTTGGCAATGTTATTCGGCATGAATTTGATTTCACAATGGAAAAGATCAGTTTTGAAATTTAAAAGAATCACGTTAAAACAAAATATGTTATAATAGAAGGAACAAAACAATTTGGCGTAAAGGATTTTTTTATGAAAACAACTGAATTTAATAATAATGTACAAATTATAAGTGCTGTGATTTGCTGAGATTGATGATTTTGCTGGTGCTTGATAGTCATTAGCAGAGATGGAGGTGACTACAGTGGGTCTATCTCCAGGCATTGCTAATTCTCTTTCATTGTACCCTGTATTGAATAGCTGACATGGTATTGTTAGTACCTCTAGTCTAAGTGTAATAGGTCGGTGACCTGTTTCTCCTCTGAGGTAAGTCAGATGGGAAGATTTTGATCACAGCCTAATTGGTGCCACTCTTTGAAAGTATCACTATTCCATTTCCCATCTCCCAGAAATAATACGTGTGAACTCTCAAATACTTCCCTTTCATGTTTAAATATGTTCCAGCACATGAACATATGACAGTACGTTCATATTCTTAAAGGTACACACACAAGTTGGAAGATATTTCACAATCCTGAAAAACATCCTAAAAGTAACCTGCTTCTAGTGAAATCATTGATGTTGCAATGAATCCTGTTCTCTGGTTATCTTGGATTTGCTGTGTTAATCTGGAGACATTTTCTCAAGGCAGCTTCATTGTTGTTTTATACTAATTTGAATGAAATGATCAAATAATTTGCAGTGTAATTATGTCGGACACATCTTTACTAAATGCACTGCTTTGACACAAATTGTACCCACAATGGAGTTGGAATATCAAAATTGTAGGCTGTTAATCAAACTTGTGCCAAATTAAAATTGCATTCAAAATTAGCTACAAAAGCTAAAGGGCATTCCAAGCCTAATATACCTCAATTTAATGATCTTCAACATTTCTTATTTCACATCAACTTTCAGCCAAGCGGAAAAATTCATGCCAGCATCCCACCAACACAGCAGGTCTGTAATGAGAGCAGGCTGTCCATGTCTGAATCCGTGTCGGAATTCTTTGATGCTCAAGAAGTGCTTCTTTCAGCAAGCTCTTCCGAGAATGAGGTAAGAGAAAATATTACTTTACGTTTCAAGGACAAAATTGATTGTGGCAGAGGAAAAGCCAAAGTTTGACAGATAGGTGTTGATATTGGTTTTATGGAGAATTTCAGCCCTTCGTTTCAATTATAGTATTTGTGTTCATAATAAGTGGAATTAAATACTTTCAAACTCACCTTACTGGCAGGAATTGGGTGCAAGTCCAATTTTTTTTTTTGTAAAAAAAAAATTAGTTTCCAGAGGAAGTCATGGATCCTCACTCCTCCAGGATATGCACTGAGGGTAGAAGCGGGCAAATGGGGAATGTGTTGGCCTTCAATTGAAAGAGCCCTTTCAGCTGCTTGAAGAGCTTGATAACAGACAGGGAGGGCAATTTTCAAATGTGATTTTGACAGACATGAAATTCAGTGCATGTTAGTCAAAGCTGTCAGATTCAAGGTGGGGAGAAATGAAAGCTTTTTCTTTTTGCTGCACTGAAAAGTATAGTGACCTGGGGGAGGACCTTGCATTATTTTCTTTCGTGTAATCGTACAAGACACTTTTTAAAAACAACATTTATATTGCTGTCCCTATGAGGTGCTGTCTGCTTGCCTCAGAATTCCTATCCTCTGAGCTGATTTTGTAGTCACAGTATTTATGTGTTTGATCCTGTTAACTTCCTGGTCAATGGTAACCCCCAGAATGTCGATAGTGGGCGTTTCAGAAATGATTGTTATTGAATTGTCAACGGATGATGATTAGATTCTCTTCTTGAGAAGATTGTTTCTTGGCACTTGTGTAGTGTGAATGTTAGCTTCAATTTATCAACCCAAGACTAGATTTGTCTGGGTTTTGCTGTGGACTGCTTTGTTACCTGAGATGTCGCAAATTGTGCTGAACGTTGTGCGATCTTCAACAAACAACCTCATTTCTGACATTAAAATGATGAAAAGCTGAATGACGAGGTGACTGTAGAGGCTGGTCCAAAGACTCATCTTGCGGTACTCCCATAGTGATCTCCTGGAGGTGAGATGGTTGATGTCCAATAACCACAGGTGGTATGTGCCAGATATGATACCAACCAGTGAAAGATTTAACCCCTGGTTCCTGTTGATTTCGGTTTAGCTAGGGAGCTAGGGCTCCTTGATGTCATACGCGGTCAAATTCTGCCTTGACCTACCTCACTTCACCTTCAAAACAGGGTGTGTAATACTGTTCATTGACTTATCTTTTAAATATATTGCTGAATTGAAATTCACTGCCCAGGTCAGGACTATTGGCTTCTAACTTTTTCCAGTTCGTTGGCAAGCTACAGTAAAAATTGCACGATAGTTTTGTCTGTAATCCCAATTGTATTTAGCATTTCTGAAGCCAAGATGTAACAGTAATTTTGTTTTCTTTCACAATAAATCTAATTGTTCTATTTTTAATCCTCAGGGCTCCGATGATGAATCCTATGTCAGTGATGTCAGTGACAATATTTCGGAAGACAATGCCATTGTTGGAGAGACTGTTTCTCGACAATGTACGAGCTAAATCCTACATTATCATTTTGTGGTGATGGATTTTAAAAATATATGAATGTGTATGCAATTTTCTGTGTTTAAATAGATGTCAATTTGTCATCAACAATTTGGATTCAGGAGTAGAATATGAGTTTAGAACCAAATTTAGGGTATATTGATGTAAAGGAGGACTGTGACCGAGTACAAGATCGTGTTAATACATTTTTGCAGAATGGTTACTTAGTTGAAAAAATGAGCTTCAGTCCAGGTACGTGAGACATGGTGCATTTTGGAATGAAGTTTAAAGAGAACACGTAGGCCTTGAAAGGTAAGTGCTTAAATGGGGTAGTAGGACAAGTGCATCTGAGGCTGGGACTTACTTCTCCTGAAGAGCAGAAGTGCTACTCTGCTTATTAAGGCATCTAGTAGAGTAATATCACTGTAGGGAAGCTGGAGTTCTACCTGAGTTGGGGCAGGAGGGAGCAATCATCGTCCCCCCCCATTTAAATTCAGCACCTTTGGAGTATTGTGAACCATTCTGGTCTCCATTTAATGAAGAGACTACAGAAGCAAGTGAGAAATGATTTACCAGACTAATAGCAAACCTGAGAGATTACACACATCAGGCAAGACTGAATAGGCTGATGCTTCTTTTTTCCAGAAAAGAGAAAACTGAGGGAGACCTGATTGAGGTCTTTAAGACAATGAGAGAATTTGATAGAGTATGAGAGAGTATGATTTTTCTTATGGAAGAGTCAGAACTAGGAATAAGACTATCTGTAATAAAACCTGTAATGAGTTCAGAAGAAACTTCCAGTAGCTAGAGGGTGGTTAGAATGTGCAGCTCACTAACAGAAAGAGTAGTTGAGGCAAAGAAGGATAGATGTATTCAAAGGATGTGAGGTAGGCATATGGGAGGGAAAAGAATAGAAAGGTAGTTTAATGGGGTATGGGAGAGGCTAATGTGAAGCCCAAACATAAGCGTTCTTCTGTTGGAACAATTGATCTGTTCCTCAGTGGTTAGTACTTTTTAAATTATAGCTAATCACCATTACACATATAGAAAGATGCATTACTTAAGTATGTTGCACAGAGCAGTACAGCATAAGTTCAAGCATATCATGAACTGCATTTATGAACATTCTTTCACCTCCACACGTCATATTCCTGAAATGTCCTCTGACCCATACTGTTGTTTAAAGATCAATTTACTGTTTTAATTTGTTAATCATTTCTAAATTTTCTGTGGTGTTCACTTTTGTATGTAGTTATAGCAGGTTGCCATAACTAGAGACCAATTAAATTGATTTAAATTGAAATAATATTGGTCATATTTTAATTGAATTTTAAGGGAATTAGCATATCCTGTATACATTATATTTTAAGCTACTTAATCAATCTAAACTAGCAGCCTCTGCTTGGGAGCATTGGAATATTGACAGATGACAGGAGATTAGCAAAGACTTGGAGCAAAGGGTAGTGAATTAATATCTGAGTCTTCATTTCACTGCATGATATTCTTGTCACCTAAATTAACTTTCAAGCATTTGAAAGATAATTGTGTTGTACTGGAGAATCTCATTAAACTAATTGTAGCAAATTATCTTATTGAGACAAGTGGGTATCATTATACTATGGTAGCTACCAGTAAACCCTTATCTTCTGAAATAAGGGACCTCAGATCGATGACCATGCTGAACTGTCTATGATTTAATCATTCTGCATCATGGAATATTCATGATAAACAGGAATCTTAACACTGGAGGTGTGTTAGTTGTTTTAAGTTTAAAGTGAAGAGAATCTGGGTGTGAGAAAATCCGAGTCAGTAGTGTGGTTTACGTGACCACTTTTACACAAACAGCCACAACGACAACTTGCATTTGTATAGTGTTCCTCATCTAGGAGTATAGGGCACCTTAGTGGGGGGTACGACCAGCAAGAGGTGGTAATGACGAAATGAGAGCAGGGGTCCTAAAAAGATATCAATGGATAGAGATTTTTTTAAAGAGAGCTTTAGAGAACAGGAAGAACATGAGAGAGTCGTTTCGGATTTAGTTTGAAAGAATATATGTGTTGTGGATTGACACCCACAATGGAGTAAAGGAATGGATAAGCAGTATGTAGAGCCTGGAAATTGGAAGGACTAGATTGATTGCTAGGAGCAAGCATAGGACACTGAGCCTTTAAAACATCTACATAAGAACATAGGAGTAGACCATTCAGCTCCTTGAGCCGGTTCCAACACGTAATAAGATCATGGCTGATCTGTGGCCTAACTCCATATTCCGGCCTTTGGCTCTTAATAGCTTTGCTTAACAAAACTTTATCTGTCTCAGATTTAAAATTAACGCCTGATCCCACATCTGCTGCTGTTTGTGGAAGAGAATTCCAAACATCTATCACCCTTGTGTGTAGAAGTGCTTCCTAACATCTCTCCTGAATGGTTTGGCCCTAATTCTCAAACTGTGCCTGCTAGTTCTAGAAGTGCCAACCAGAGGAAATAGTTTATCTTTACCTACTCCGTCTTTTCCTGCTAATATCTTGGACAATTCAATGAGATCACAGTTAACCTTTTATTGCAACTCCATTCACTTGCCATGACTTCGTACCCCTAAATACCTTTGGCTAGGACAAAAGTATTAATCTGGCATTTAAAATTATCAATTGAAATAATATCACTTTTTTTTTAGAGAGACTCCTTACTTCTACCACCATTTGTGTGAAGAATTTTTTTGTAATGTCTCTTTTGTATGCACTAGTTCTTATTTTGGACTTGTCCCCCATTCAATGGAAGATGTTTGGCTGAATGCAACCCATTCATTCCTTTAAAAATGATTAATGTCATCACAGTTTGTCTCCTTGGTTAATTTGGCCACAGCAGTCTAAATACTATGGATTTTTCAGAATTAATATAAGAAAGACCTAAAGATGATTGGTGGAAGAGGTAGCCATGGAGGTGGTGGTATTAATGTTGATATCTTCAAGGACATTGAGGCCACGTTTGACAGAGTAAAGCAGCCAAGTTTAGACTTTTTGAAATAGAGGACGTCCTTTTTAAAGGATATTGGGATTCTAACAATAAATAACAGATTGACAATTAAGGTAAAAACCAAAAGAACTGCGATGCTGTAAATCAGGAACAAAAACAGAAGTTGCTGGAAAAGCTCAGCAGATTTGGCAGCATCTGTGAAGAAAAATCAGGGTTAACGTTTCGGGTCCAGTGACCCTTCCTCAGAACTGATGGTAGCTGAGACAATTAAGGTATTTGGGATTGACGAGTCATCGCTTAGTCATCGGAAGCCTTGTTGAAGTCAGGCATTCTGTTGAAGAAATAGATGTAGATTTCATGGAGCAAATCAGTTTGGGAGAGGGATGGAAAATAAACTACAAAGAAGTGATGAGGAAGAACTAATGTGGGGAGGGTTCAGTTGTGTAAAGATGGAGGAGATTCTATTCTGTCTACTCAGAAATTTCTCATTTATATGGCTTACTGTAGCTTCATCAAAATAGCTGATCATCTGCTTAGTTAAATAAGTGGAAGACAGTTTGGATTTAATTAATAATATTCCTACTTGACATGGATTTTAATTTCTGATACAATCGTGATTTCTCAAGTACAGGGAAGAGAATAGATCTGAATTTTAAAATATAATTACTTATGCTTCCCTGCTCCTTGAGGAATACTCTTCAATATAAAAACTATAGGTGATTATGAACTGTTGTGTAATGAAACTACGGTCCAGTTAATATCTAATTGCCATAGTAACATTGATTCCTTCTCAGGTCCAGGCATCATATATATCCGCTGGTAATAGATCACAACTATTTTGATATGGTTATGAGCATTTTTAACTACTTTTTATAAATAAGAGGAAATCTTACGAGCACATGACCCATAAATTAATTGAAATAGTTGTCTTTTCAAACAGTTACTGAAGCTTACCAATGTGCATTTTTCCTTTTTTACTGGGGAGGATATAATGTTCCCTGAGCTCTACATTCATGTCCATGAACACCTATAATTTTAAAAAGTCACTGAAATAAGCAGGTGTCACAAATTTATAAAATTCCATTGTGTGGTAGGTTGCAGATTACTGAGCAGCTGCGCTTGTATGTACCCTGGGGGTAACATTGCTCTCCTCCCTCTGCCCCTTCTGCAGATGACACTAAGATGAGTGGCAGAGCAAAGTGTGCAGAGGACTGTGAAACTTTGCAGAGGAACATAGATACATTGAGTGAGTGGGCAAAGGTCTGGCAGATGGAATACAATGTAAATAAATGTGAAGTCATACATTTTGGTAGGAGTAATAGTAAAAAGGGTTATTACTTGAATGGTAAAAAGTTGCAGCATGCTGCTATGCAGAGGGACCTGGCTGTCCTTGTGCATGAATCACAGAAGGTAGGTCTGCAGGTACAACAAGTAAACAGGAAGGCAAATGGAATTTTGTCCTTCATTGCTAAAGGGATTGAAATTAAAAGCAGAGAGGTTATGTTGCAGCTGTACAAGGTGCTGGTGAGGCCACACCTGGAGTACTGTGCGCAGTTTTGGACTCTTTACTTGCGAAAGGATGTATTGGCACTGGAGGGGGTGCAAAGCAGGTTCACTAGGTTGATTCCGGAGTTGAGGGGGTTGGCTTATGAGGAGAGACTGAGTAGATTGGGATTATATTCATTGGAATTCAGAAGATTGAGGGGGGATCTTATAGAAACATATAAAATTATAAAGGGAATAGATAAGAGAGAAGTAGAGAGGATGTTTCCACTGGCAGGTGAAGCTAGGACAAGAGGGCATAGCCTCAAGATTAGAGGGAGCAGATTTAGGACTGAATTGAGAAGGAATTTCTTCACCCAGAGGGTTGTTAATCTATGGAATTCCTTGCCCAGTGAAGTAGTTGACGCTACTTCAGTAAACGTTTTTAAAGAAAAGGTAGATTTTTTTTGAACAATAAAGGAATTAAGGGTTACGGTGAGAACGCGGGTAAGTGGATCTGAGTCCACGAAAAGATCAGACATGATCTTATTGAATGGCGGAGCAGGCTCGAAGGGCCAGACGGCCTACTCCTGCTCCTAGTTCTTATGTTCTTATGTACTGACGTTGTTTCAATACCATCCCGCCTTACACATCCCATTCTACCTTTTGCTGCCCATCCCGTTATCAGTTCTTCCTCTCCTGTCCAACACCTTATTTGTTCTCCCTGTCCTGGTCATTACCATTATTCATTATCCCTCTCCTTCCCCATCTCATCTGCCATTTTCCCTGTCCTCCCCATCCCATTCTCCATCTTTTCACACCACATATATGAACTGATAGTTCTTTCTGCTAAATGTAAGAGCAAATGAATTACAAATCCTGCAGAGGGGAGTCACGGAGCTTTAAAATTTGAATTTGGATCATAAAAATCCTTAAAATTGATTCATTTCGTCAGACAATGGGGAAAAAAACTCACTGGGTCTGGCTTCCTAGTTTCAGTGAACCTCTGGTTTCCATGCTGATACATGTGGCTCAGTCATTGCTTATTATCAATTTTTCATCAATGTGATGAACAACCACATCTGTGTAATAAATCCAACCATCAATTGACATCAGCTTCTCGTTTTGTAAATCCAATGAATAACTTCAGCTCAGACGGTGTGTTTATCTGATCATGATGGGCTGTACCCAATACATTTGTGACTTTGATTTGCTTTGGACTTTTCTGGACTATTTGGCTCCAGGTTCTGTCATGGGCCATTGAAAGCTCCTGGATGAGGAACAACCTTGAGTCCTGATATTGCCTCCCCTGGATTCCAAGATGGCATGTAGACCCTGCCACTTGCATCCAGCTGAGGTCCGTTCCTCTGACCCAGTGCCAAGAATTATTCCCAGTCTCTCCCCTCTCTCAGAACCCTTGGCTGGTGACTCTAGAATACCCTAAGCTTCTAGGTCTAGGAGGATGGGAACTGACAAAGCCCTTGAAGTATATAAATAGGAAAGAACTTAAGCAAGGAATTAAAGGGCTAAAAAGGGTCATGAAAAATCATTAGCAAACAGGATTAAGGAGAAACCCAAGGCTTTTTATACATATATGAAAAGCAAGAGGGTAGCTATGGAAAGGGTTGGCCCACTCAAGAACAAGGGAGGGAATCTATGTGTGGAACCAGAAGAGAAGGTGAGGTCCTAATCAAATATTTTGTATTGGTATTCACCAAAGAGAAGAAATTGGTGGAGGATGATCTCAGGGCAGGTAGTGTTGAGTTTCTAAGCCAAGTTGCTAGTAAAAAGGATGAGGTTTGTGCGTCTTAAAAAAATATTAAGATGGATAAGTACCCGGGTCCTGATGGGATCTATCCCAGAATATTGAGGGAGGCAAGAGAACAAATTGCTGGAGCATTGACAGACATCTCTGTATCCTCTTTGGCCACAGGTGAGGTCCCAGAGGACTGGAGAATAGCCAATGTTGTTCCACTGTTTAAAAAGGGTAACAGGTATGATCCTGGAAGTTACAGGCCTGTGAGCCTCTCATCATTGGTAAGGAAATTGTTGGAAAAGATTCTCAGGGACACGAGCTATACACGTTTAGAAGCAAGTAGACATATAAGTGATAGATAAGATGGTTTTGTGTGGGGGAGGTCGTGCCTTACTAACTTGATCAGGTTTTTTGAGGAGGTGATGAAGATGATTGAGGGAAAAGCAGTTAATGTTGTCTACATAGACTTCAGTAGAGCCTTTGACAAGGTCTCTCATGGCAGACTGGTACAAAAGGTGAAGTCACATGGTATCAGGGGTAAGCTGGCAAGATGGATACAGAACTGGTTTAATCATAGGAGACTGAGGGTAGCGATGGAAGGATGCTTTTGGGAATGGATGGCTGTGACTAGTGGTCCACAGGCATCAGTGATGGGACTTCTGCTGTTTGTGATCCACATAAATGACTTGAAGGAAAACATAGCTGATCTAATTAGTAAGTTTTCAGACGATACAAAGATTGGTGGAGGTGCGGATAGTGAGGAGGATTGTCAGAGAATACAACTGGATATAGATCGGTTGGAGGCATGGGCAGAGAAATGGCAGATGGTATTTAATCTGGACAAATGTGACGTGATGCATTATGGAGGGTCAAGTACAGGTGAAAATTATACAGTGAATGGCAGAACTCTTAGGAGTATTGATATGCAGAGGAATCTGGGTGCGCAGGTAGATAAGGTAGTAAAAAAGGCCTATGGCATATTTGTCTTCATTGGAAGGGTCATCAAGTAGAAGGATACACAAGTTATGCTGCAACTTTATAGAACTTCAGTTAGGCCACACTTGGAATATTGCATACAGTTCTGGTTATCAAACTATCAGAAGGATGTGGATGCTTTGAAGAGGGTACAGAAAAGGTTTACCAGGATGTTGCCTGGTACAGGGGATTTTAGCTGAGGAAAAGTTGCATTTACTGGGTTTGGTTTCACTGGAACACAGGAGGTTAAGGGATGAACTGAAAGAAGTTTGAGATTGCAAATGGCATCGGTAGAGTGGAAAGTATCAGGCTTTTTCCCAGGGTGGAGAGGTCAATTACTAGGGGGCACAGGTTCAAGGTGCACGGCCGGGGGAAGTTTAAACGAGATGCGCGAGTCACACTTTTCACACAAAGGGTAGTGAGAGCCTGGTACACGCTGCCAGAGAAGGTGGTAGAAGCAAACACCATAGCAGCTTTCAAGAAGTATCTGGATGAATACATGAATAGAGAAGGAATAGGTGGAAACGGATCCAATAAGTGAAGACAGTTTTAAAATGGAAGGGCAGAATGTGTCGGTGCAGGCTTGGAGGGCCAAACGGCCTGTTCCTGTGCTGTGTTGTTCTATATCACCACCTGTTCTGATGTTTTAAGGCCTTGTCTGGCTCCTGTCCTTCTCGCTGTATGCTGCTCACTTCTGGACACACCTCTGCTCTCCCAGCTCCTCTAGCACAGCTCAAGGTCACTATACCCTCCGTCACTGACTCCTGTCTTTCTGTTACCACTTCCTGCTCTCCCAATCACAATGCACTTTATCCTGCTTCCTCCAAAGTGGCTGGAGGTTGGGTTTTGAGCCATTGGGTTTTGATAATCATCCCCCTCCCCTAGTTTGAGCTCCCTGTAAGCAGCCTGTATATTTCAATATGCGGCATTTTGAAGGAACATTGCTAATACGTGTCTTGATTTGCTACCTTATTCACAGGAAACCCATGTTAGATACCCATAACATTAAGGAAATGCTACTTAATGTTTAACTCATCTTGTTACAGTATCTAATGACGAGCTCAGTAGTGGTGCATTTCGAAATGGTAGGCGTACGTGTCTCCCAGCGCCATCTCCTGATACCAGTAGCATCAATCTGTGGAACATTTTGAGAAATAACATCGGAAAAGATCTGTCCAAGGTCTCCATGCCAGTTGAGCTGAATGAACCCCTCAATACTCTGCAGCATCTATGTGAAGAATTGGAATATTCTGAATTGTTAGACAAGGCAGCTGAAACAGATGATCCATATGACCGAATGGTAATCTTTTTGCTTTGTAGTTGAATGTTATTGTTTATTTAAACATTTTAATGTTGGCTCTGATCCATTCCTGCTGTTAGAGATCGATCCTTGCAAAGTTTGGTTGTTGCTGCCAATGTTCCAAACGTACTTTACATTCAACATTGCTTGGAGGGCTTGGGTTTTGAAGACTTGTGGAAAGGGGAGTTGATTTCAAGTTTTGTGGATGTACCTGGAGTCATTTCTTTAAAAGCTCACTGTGGAATTGGAAATTTTGTTTTAAACCAAGGCTGTGATAACTGCTTGCTTTTGTGTAGATCTTGCTGTTGCTGTTTTTTGAACAGTAACTGGCTCAGAAGAATGTTTGTTTTTTTTTCCCTGATTCAGTTGAAAGAAAGCCTGCTGAGAAACAGCTGAATTAGAAGGAATCTAATGCTAAGCACAAGCTGAGATGGAGGAAAGCTTGCTATGAACAAGTTACCGAACAGACCTCTCCCATTGCTGAAAAGAAAACCCTCTATGTCAGTTCAGGGTGAAATTTCTTTTTTGTTCCTTTGAAAGTGTGATTGACAGACTATCTCAAGATTCTATTTCCTGAGCAAGCTGCTGATACCTCAGAGACAATTATTAACCTGACCACGTGTGTGAAAACATTAAAGTATCACAGAACATCCTACATTTTATCCTTTTGTCTTCAAAAATAACCCATTGCTGGAAAGAAAACACTTTGAACCAATCTCTGCAGAGAAATCTGTTTTTCTTTCTCCCCACACTGCCTGAGGCATGTATGATTTTTGGGGATATTTACAGGAACAAACATTTATACTTCTATATTACTGACAGTGCATGAGAGACAATTATTGTATTTTATTGAATAAATTTTATTTTGATAATAACCCATCATTATCTTTATTAAGAAATCTTACTTTTTTTTTGTTTAAGACCTGATTGTCCTAAAGTTATTTATTGGTTATGTTCACAATGGGGAAAAAGTATTTTTATTTTGTGTTGTGAGCCTTTGATTAGTGGAAATAGTGATGGTGCACTCCCTCAACCTAACCCAGCGTTGACAAAGTGATTGTAGTGTTTGCTATGTTGAACTTGCACCATCACAAGATGCATTCCAATACTAGAAATTTACATTGTAATTTATTTGAATACAACTTGGGAAATTAAATGCAATATTTTCTTTCAATGTATCAACAGAACTAAAGTCTTAAATGTTTTATTCACTTTCCATGTTGGGTTATTTGACCTGAGTAACTTTGCTTAAAAAATGTAGACTAAAATAATATAGAGAAACAATGGTCATTTGCGTATATTTAGGTATTATATTTTTCCTTTTCCCAACTTTATCTATTTCCATCTTTTTGTCCTAAATTTTTAGGTTATGATTGCTACATTTGCAGTTTCAGGATATGCTACAACATATTACAGAGCTACATTTAAACCCTTCAATCCAGTGCTTGGAGAGACATACGAATGTATTCGAGAAGACAAGGGATTTCGGTTTTTTGCAGAGCAGGTATGATTTATATTCTAATCGATCACTATATAAAGGGCAATTGAAATCAAGGAAAAAATTTTCTTTTTTATTTTTAGCTAGTCTACTTTGCTTTTAAATTATCACAAATAGCTTTTAAATTACATTGTAAAAGTGAAAAAAATTATCCTAGAGCAGTCTCTACTGACTTGTCATTGTGCATTTGCACATTCTTTGATCTTAATAGGATAGTAAATTGGCACAACATCGTGGGTCAAAGGGCCTGTACTGTGCTGTACTGTTCTATGTTCTATGTGAGTGCATCCTGAATAAAATATAACCATGTTATCCATTGAAAGTTGTAATCTTCAATACATGAATGCTAAGTAGATAAAATTTTATTGTTAAACTCAAAGAATTACACACACAAGGATTGAAATTCATCTGAGGGGAACAAAATTAATACTGGATGAGCACCCCAAACCAGAAGCCTAAAGCAGGTCAGACATGGTCAAATGTTATCACAATGTCACCTCTCCTCTATATTTACCTGTGGTTTGGATCAAGGTTGTGAGAAGATTAAAAGCAGAGTGATTCTGGCAGGACCTGAACTGAAGGATCTTGAGATTAGAGGTTCCTCAATGGCATTGTTAATTTCCATTCCATGGCTTCGCTGTTATTTAATGGGAGTGCTAAAGTGGTAATTGGTTGGTGAGGTTTATCTTGTCTTTGCTAGGATTTTGGACATTTTTTTCATTATTGCTGGATAGGTGCAATTATCTTTGTTGCACTGAATGATTTGGCTATGCAGCCAATTAGAAATAACTTCAGAGGCAGGCATCCTGTCACCACGACACGCTTTACCTATACATGGAGAGTCCTTGACACTGATCCAGCTCTTGGAGTGAACAGAACCTCTGACACTACTGTTTATATCTGTCAGCCAGGGCTCCCTGATTGGACCAAGTTAACAGCCCCAATCAGGGAACTCATATTCTGTGGGTCCACCTGGATGATCTCATTACAATCACTAAAATAGCCTCATTGTGTTTGTTACACTCACCACGAATGCCATGTGGACTCAACTAGATTGACATCTGTGATGGTGGCAACTTTAGGATGAAACAAAAAACAAATTAACACAAATGAAGATAATGTAACAGTTCAAGTTGGTTCCTTGAATTCAGTTTGGGATATTCACTGAAACACACAATTGTTATGGTGCAGGAGGAGGCCATTCAGCTCTCTGAAAGTCTTGACTTGAGTCAAACTCCTGCTTTTTCCCTATAACACTGCACATTGTTTCTATTTAAATAACCATCCAATATCCTCTTGAATGCCTCAATGGAATCTGCCTCCATTACACTTCCAGGAATGCATTCCAGACTGGATCATTCACTGTGTAACAAAATATTTCTTATTGGCAGTTGCTGTTTTACAAAACATTTAAAAACATTTTATCAGCAGGAGCAGTTACTCCTCATCTGCACTGTACGGAACCTCACTATTTTGAAAACTTGTATCAAATCTCCCCTTGCCTTCTCTGTCCAAGGTGAGTAGTTCCAACTTCTCCAATCCGTCCTCATAGCTCAAGTTTCTATTCACAGGAATCATTTTCGTCTTCTGCTCTTTCTCCAATACCTTCATAGCCATCCTAAAGTGTGCCATTTCAAAACAGAAAACGCCAGCTGAGGTCTAACTGGTAACATACATAGATTTAGTAAAACCTACCCTACCCTGTGCATCTATTGATGAAGCCTAGAATGCTGCATGCTTGTTTTATTTTTAACAATGGTCTCTACCTGACCTGCCACCGTACGTGTGTACCTAGGCTTCTCTGCCTTCAAATACCCTTTAGAATAGTACCCCTTATTTTATACTGTCCCTCCATGTTCTTTTTACCAAAATGCATCACCTCACATTTCTCTGCATTGAACTTCATCTGCCCATTCCATCAACGTGTCGGTATCCTGTTTAAGTTCTCCTTGGTTTATAATTCTCCCAAGCTTTGTGTTATCCACAAACTTTGAAATTGTCCCCAGCACACCAAAGTCTAGATCAAATATATATATCAGGCAAAGCATGGGTCGCAGTAGCAATTCCAAGAGAAATTCACTACAAACCTTCCTCCAGTCTGAAAAATACCCATTAACCATCAGTCTGTCTCCTATCACTTAGTTCATTATGCGTCTGTGTTGCTAATGTCTCATGTACATCACATCAACAGCTTTGCTGTCATCATCCCTCTCTGTTACCTCTTCAAAAATCTGCAGCAAGTCAGACACGATTTTCTCTTCACAAATCCATGCTGCCTCTTCCAAATTAACCTGCCTTTTTGAGACCGTTAATTCTATTCTGAATAATTGTTTCTGAAGTTTTTCTACCACTGAAGTTAAACTGACTTTTATGTAATTACTAAGTCAATCACTACAAAACCTTTTCAACAATTGCGTAAAGTTTGCAATTCTCTCATCCCCTGGCACCACACCCAAATCTGTGAAAGATTGAAAGATTATTGCCAGTGTCTCTGCAGTGTCCTCTATCATTTCCTTGGCCTGGGCAGCATCTGTGTCAGAGGTAATTTTAATTTATTTTATTTCATTTCATTTCCATTTCATTTCATTTGTTTGTTTGTTCATTAGTTTATTTATTTAAAGTATTCATTTTAACACCTCAGCCTCTGTGTGTAAATGCCTTTTTGGTCCCAAATTGGCTCCATTCCTCCTTGTACTACCCTTTTATAATCAATGTGCTTAAGGGAGACTTTGGAATTTCCTTTTATGTTAGCTGCCAGGTATTTTTTTCCATAACCCTTTGCTTCTTGTGCTTGCTTTTTCATCTCCTTCTGGACCTTCTGTATTCAGCTTGGGTTCTGAATTGTATTTACTACATGATGCCTATTATACACACACACTCTTTCTTCTTTAACTTAATTTAATCTAGTTAACTCTACCTCCTTTGATAACCAGAGACCTCTAGGTTTGTTTATCTTTCCCTTTTGACAGAAGATATCTTGACAATGTCTGAACCATCTCCTCTTTGAATAAACAGCTACTGATTTTACCCACCAGCCTTTGGTTCCAGTCTATCTGACTCAGCTTTGTTCCTGTTCTATTGAAGTCTGCTATCCATAAATTGAGTATTCTTACTATGGATTGACCAGTGTCATTTTCCAACATCATCCTGAATGTTATGATACAATGGTCATGTCCCCAAATGTTCTACTGTCACTTGATCTACTTGGCCTACATCATTCCCAAAATCCAGGTCTAGCAGTGCTTATTTTCTTGTTGGACTGGACTGACTGCTGTAGGAGGTTCTCCTGAGCACAATCTAGAAACATCCGTCTTTCACTGCTTCTTACACTACCACTGCCTTAGTCAATATACAGACAGCTAAGGTCCTTGTGATGTTTACATGTCTCTATACTTTCCTTGAAGATTTGTTCCTCTGTGTCTTTCTGGAATAATATAGAGAAACAGATCTGCAAGGAAAGTGTCCAGTGGTCTTTATACTACACGGAGCAATGTATTTGTATGCTTCTTATGCCTTAGCTTTAGCCATATCGATTCTGTCCTTGATCCCTCTGCAGCATTCTTTCTTCAGTACCACAATGCTCTCTCTCATCAAAATACCCAACCTCCTTCCCTTTCCTACCTTTTCTGAATCTTTGTAACAAGGAAAAATTATCATCTTTGAGCTAGATCACTGCTGTCACCATAATTTCATAATGCCATGTGGCAGTCTGTATCTGTAACTCCCCAATCTTATTAACTGTAGTGTCTGCACTTACATACAGTGTAACCCTGATTTAGACTTCAGGGATCTGTGGACAAGCAGCCCAAGATCCCTCTATTCCTGTGAGCTTCTTGGTGTCCTGCCAGCCTTGAGTGCTCCCATGTCTTGTTACTACTTTCACAATGCATCGCCTCACGCTTTCCAGCATTAAGTTCCATCTACTGTTGATCTGCACTTCTGACCTGCCTGCTTATTATCTTCCTTTAAACTAAGACCTCCTTCCTCACTATTAACCACCTGGTTGGTACATATTCAATTCCTTTTCTGTATTACAGTGCTATCTGCCTCTGCCAGCATGTTGTGCGCCCTGTGTATTTCTATCTGATGTTCTCTCCTGGTTCTGTCACCCCTGCTGAACTAGTTCTATTCAGGAGCTGCCACTTCCTATTAATTGCGTGAATGTCTGCCACTATTCTTGACTGCATGTGGTACAGCTACAGAGCTTTGCCTAATTTGTTGGATGTGGTTACTTGTTGCAGTATATCTAGTTTGATACCTCATTGCAGTGTGTGTGGAGCTGCTGTATACACATACAGCAGTTACCTCTCTTGAACCAGGTTGATACTCCAGTATGATATGGTGGACAAGCGAGGGATAAGATGTTCTACAAAGTTGTAGGTCTATAAAAATCATCTGGAATTGACAGATCATAGCACCTCACTACTTATGCCTCTGCTCTTAGTGATACCTGTCACAATGGAGAATATAATCACTGAGAAGATCAACCAGGGCATATGCAGGTCCTGGTTTAGCAACTGTATCCTTTAGGAGTTGGCCAGTTCTGTCAGAAGTGGTACTGGTGAGCCATTCTTCATGATCAGGATTAAAGTTACTCACCTGGAGTACAGTTTGTGCTCATGCTTCCCTTTAATGTTGTCTCCAAGTGGAGTTCAATGTGAAAAAAGTGATTTGTTAGTTGTATCAGAGATAGTAGGAACTGCAGATGCTGGAGAATCCGAGACAACATGGTGCAGGGCTGGATGAACACAGCAGGCCAAGCAGCATCATAGGAGC